CCCTCTATGAGGTGGATTGATTCAGTGACTGGGATAATTGGGATGGGAGTGTCAGAGACAGTGCGATTGGCACAGGACAGAGCGAAGTTTAGGGCTGCTGTACATAGGGTCACTATGAGTCGCAAGCGACTCGACGGCACATAACAACAACAACAACAATCTTAGGGAACAAATAAAAATAATATAGTGAACTCTGTGATATATAAATGTTACCTTATAAAATCTCTAAACTTAACTGATCTTGATTATAATTGAGAATGGCAGATAGGAAAATTCTGGAGAAGTGAGAGAGTAGTTTAATAATAATCATAATTAAATATATCACTAGAAATACCATGTATAGGAAAACGGAAATTAAGATACAGGAAGTCAGGTTCTCAGTATGTAGGGGAAACAACGTTTACATATTGTTACAATTTTTCATATTATATGTGAAAAGGTAACTGTCAGTTTGGTATTGGAAGGTTTTATTTTATCATGCGAGGTAAAATTCACTCAAGGGAGATAGTAACTGTAATTAAACTAAAAAATTGTGCATTGTGTGATCTAAGGTAGTCCTATTTACTGAGGACTAAATGATGAGCTTATCTTCACCACTGGACCAATAGGCAGTATCACGATAGATGGAGAAATGACTACAGTTGTCAATCATTTCATTTTACTTGGATGTACAGTCAGTCAAGTAATCAAGACATACTGTCTTGCACTAGGGAAATCTGCTGTGAAGGACCTCTCTTAAAAAGTTCAGAGGAGCAACATATTACTTTAAAGACTGAGGTGTGTCTGACCCAAGCACTGATCTTTTTCAACTGCTCCATCTGCATATGAAAGGTGGACAATGAATAAGTATGACAGAAGAGTCAATGCCTTTGAAATGTGCTGGTGGAGAAAAGTATTAAATGCCAGGGTTTGCCAGAAGAACAAAGGAACAAAGGAAGGGCAACTGGTGTTCTGTAGAAGAATACTGAAATTCTGTCTAACTTTGGTCCTATTTTCAGGAGAAACCAATCTTTCCAGAGCCATTCAAAGGGAAAGGTTGAGGACTGGAGAAAGAAAGGAAGACAGTCAATGAGCTACACTGCCACAGTGCCTGCCACAATGGGACAGGGCATGACAGAGATCATCCAGATGGCACAGGACAGGACAAGGTTCAAATCTGTGGCTCTTATAATCACTACCAGTTGTAGTCAACTAAGTGGCATGTTAACTCAACAATAAGCTGTGAGCAGAAGGGAGGCTGTAACTGCAAATGAAAATAGGGAAAACAAGACAAGAATTAAAATATCAAGACTAAAGCTATCTTGCTGCAGCAGCTAGTGATATTTAAACCTATACCATTGCTCATGTTTCATTTTGTCCTAATTAATTTTGTTTTTAATGGCAAATGAATTTGAGTTCAACTCACAGCAACTCCATAAATAAAATTGTTCCATCAGGTTTCCTAGGTTATAATCTTTATGGAACTGGACTGTCTGGTCTTTCCACTGAGGAGCAGGTTTACAAGTTTGAATTGGTGACATTTTGGTTAGCGGCTAGGCGTTTACTAGTGTGCTAGCAGCTTCTGAATTATTTTAAGAGGGACCACTTTTAAAATTTAGAAAACATTTTCCAATATATTATCACAATTTATCATACAGCAAATCAATATGTAGCTAACACTGCCCACATTTTGTAGTTAAGAATCTAGGATTTAAGCTTATTTAAGTAAAGACAAATTTAGAATCAAACTATAAACTCTCTACACAAACTACTACAGTTCCTCAGACAAATAGCACCAAATTCTGTTTTATCTGGACTTGAATCATCCTCATTGTATGTCTAGAAAAACTTGATCAACTCTTGTTACAGAAAACACAACTTCTTGCTTTAGTCTTAAAACTATCTTAAGCAATATACAGGAAAATAAAAGGAAACCAATGGATTGAATTGTAAAGTACCTAATCTTCACAATATTGTATCTGAAGAGGATTTTCTCGTTTCCGTTATGAAATACATTTCACTCTTGCCTTAACATCCTTGTTATATTGATGACTCTCTCAGCTAATAATACTTTTCAAAGAAGGTGGTGCCATGAACATTTAGTAAAGTGAAATCTGGTAAGAAAAAGAGGTTTAATCTGCAAAACCAAGTTTACCTATAGTCATTTAAGGGGGAAAAGTGATTGAGTCTAAGTTTTTCTTTACTTGAGTGTTTTTATTAATTTTTTCCAAAGTTAAACAATTACTATCAACACAAATGTAGAATTTAGGTTCTTTTTTAAAAAATTTTATTATTTTTTTGTGTACGTGTACCGTCAAATCAGTTCTGACTGGTACAGGAGGAGATTGCCCCTCTTTCCCCGGCAGAGCATCTGGTGGATTCAAACTGTTCGCCTCTGGGATTGTAGTTGCAGCTCCTTGCCACTAGGCCACCAGAGCTCCCCTAGAATTTAGGTTCTTGATATTGCAGAAAAAACATTAAACCTACAAAGCCCTAAAACAAAAAATCGTATCTGAAATGCTAATCTCTTTAGGATATAAAAAATCAAAACTGCTATATGCATTCAGATAAAGATCAATCTACATTAAGAGATGTATATTTGATCATTAATAGTTTTATAATAAAAGCAGAAACCATTATTATTATTTATTATTATTGAAATCTTAAATTTAGTAAATAAAGCTGAGACATGAAATGCATCCATCCATTTTAGAATGATCATAATCATTTTACTGATATGTTTGTAGTGGCAAATTGTAATGTTAGTGTGTGACTATTTACCTTTGTGTCATAATTTTAAAGGCATCTGGGAGGTAGCAGTCGGTATTCTCCATCTGAAATGGGTCAGCATCACATATCTTGTCATCGGTCCGACCGTAGTTTGCACTCTCAATCATAATGACATCACTGCCTGGACATCGGAGGTCTATAGAATAACCTTCACAGGACAATTCTCGCCTAACTAGCCCAAATGGTAATGCTGCTCTGCTGAAACCTTTAAAAGAAAAAGAAACATTTATGAAGTAAATTATGTTAATAAGGCAGTTTAAAAATAATATAGTTTGTGACTACATTAGATTGAAAAACTGTCACAATGTTTTTCTTTTCATTATCTAATCATTTTAAATTTATTCTAACACAATATTTTCCATTTAATTTATTCACACGCAGAAATCAAGTAAGTGGCTCTTTATGAGCAAATCCACAGGAAAATGACAAATTTTTAAAAAGGATTACTAAATAGTGACAAGTTTTGCCAATATAGAAGGTGACAAGTAATTAAGGGAACATTTTTACTTGTTCATAGGAATAAAAGCTTTGTAATACATAGGCCTTACTTTCTCATTTCTCTAAATATGTTAACAGTTGTCAGTAACATTATTTTAAAGATAGTTTTGGTATTAGCAGTTTCTTCTAAACAACAGTAAGCAACTGAAGACAAAAAGATACTTAGGGCAGGGTCATTTATTTCAATTTATAGACAACTGATTTAAAGATGGAGCTGTGGGTAGCACAAACAGTTAAGTGCACAACAATTAGCCAGAATTTGGTAGTCTTTTTTTTTTTTTTTTGAAACAAAACAAAATCAACTTTATTTTTTCTAGATTAAAAAAAATAGAACCAGCTATTAATTTTTGTTGAGAAATTTTTTTTTTGAAACAAAACAAAACCAACTTTATTTTTTCTAGATTAAAAAAAATAGAACCAGCTTGAATTTGGTAGTCTTAATACATGCAGTAGCTTCTCATAAGAAAAGCTTGGCAATCAGTTCCACTAGTTCAAGTCTGTGAAAGACCTAAGGAGCTGATGTTCTACTCCACAATACAAGTCACAATGTGAACCAACGTGATGGCATCTACGGTTTTGGTAAATTTTTTCATAGAGGTTTTGGTGGAAGGGAGATTTTTAAAACTGACATCACTGTAAGATTTTAACCAATGGCAATTCAAAGGAACAGAACTATTGAAAATTCAATTTATACAAGCTCAATGACCTAAAAAAAACAAAACTGATTTAAGATTCAGTTTTGTTATTTGCAAAATGGCACTGAAGCATCAATAACACCACTTTTCCTATGTGAATCTAAAATAAAATACTGTACACAAAAGCACCTACTAAAATGTATTGTTGTGGGTAATCAAGTTGATTCTGACTCAATTCATGTTGCTATTAGTTGCAACTGGTTGGGTCTAACTCATGACAAACCTGTATGTTATTACTGTTGTCATGTGCTGTCAAGGTGTACATGACTTAAAGCTGACCCTCCATCAGGTTTTCAGACACAGTGGTAAGAAGCTGCACTGCAGTCCCGAAGTCATGCAATTCAAATCCACCAGCTCCTCTGTATGATCTAGTGACTCTGAAAACCCACTAGTGAGTCAGCTATGGTTTGGCTCTGACTAACAGGCACACAACAATCTTTCTCTCACGAAGAAGCTGATAGATTCAAACTGTGTACCTTTAGGATTGTAGTACAATATGTGTGTGCCCAAGGGATTCATAAAACTAATTACTCTAAAATAATCCTTAAACCAAAACTACCCCAAAGTGATCTTTTAGGTAAGTAGGAGTAATAATTGTGAGTACTGTGTACCTTCAAAAAAATAACTTATAAAGCCAAGTAGTAAACAGTCTCTCCAATTTTACTCTTCCTGAACAGTAAGGAGGCCAGGGAAACAAACTAGTAAAATCAATGAAACACACAGAATAAAATGAATGAGAATGCTGACACATTTGTGGAAAATATGATTAATGTCACTGAACAAATGTTGATTAAAAACAAAATAAATTAATAGTTTACAATGTCCTTGATAAAATTTCTGCAATAAGTCTTAATTTTTACACTCTTAACATTTCATATCTAAAAAGCAAATATAAACGTACTTCTAAAAACATTGGTTAGTTATATGGTAACTTACAAGCTACAAGAAGAAATCATCTCTGTCTCTCTCTCACACACACACACACACACACACACACACGATCTTTACTACTAACCTTTTTCTACAGATTAGCTGATAAGAACCTCTGGGTTCAGATTAATCCACTGTTGCTAGCAGCCAGTCCCCGCCTCATACTAACCCCATGCACAACAAACAAAAGGGTGCCCTAGTCAGCTTCATCCTCATAATCAGTTGCAGACCAGACTGTTGTAATCCATAGAATTCCCACTGGCTGATTTTCAAAACTAGATCACCAGGTCTTTTTTCCCCTAAGCCATCACAGTCTAGATGCTCTTTTGAAACCTGTTCAGGATCTTAGCAGCTTGGGAGGCTCCAATGACAGACAGATGGGTGATGACTGTGCAAGGGGTACACTGGCCAGAAATCAAACTTAAGTGTCATACAAAGAAGACAAGATGACAAATGAACAGAAAAAAACGAAGATATCTACATTTAGTGAGTAAACTGTTATTAACTGAGCGATGATTTAATAATTAGAATGTACCAAGAATTTCTTTATAGCTTTTTTCCCTTTATAATAGTTTCTCTATTGAGATTACTTGTATGTTGAGTCATTGTCATCATAATTTTCTCTAAATTCTTTAATATAGCTTTACTTTAATCTTTGAACATACTAGTAATAGTCACTTTGAAATCTTTATCTGCTAAATCTAACTTCTGGGCCCACTTTAGAGGCAGTTTCTACTGTCTGTTTTTCTCTCGAGTATGAATTATACTTTCCCATTTCCTTACATGTCTTATAATTTTAATGTTATTGTTGTTATTGAAAACTGAACACTTTAAATAATAGGATGTTTGAAACTCTGGATTCAAACAGTTTTTCTCCTGAGCACCGCTGCTGCTATAGTAGTTCTTTGTTAGTATTTCAACTGGACTTTTTCACCATAACCTGACTCCCTCCACAGAGTGTGGTTGTTTATGTATCTGTCTACTAAATTGCTTTTTGATTGGTTTGACTGTATTTTCGCTTTTAGTTCACATTTTTATTTTTTTGGCCTGATTGCATATGGCTATTCTCGGCCTCTTCACAGCTCAATGGTAAGCCAATGACTGGGAAAATATTTTGCACAAACACCTTGAAGCCATAATAAGGTCTCTTGTCTGTTGAATGATCTATGTTTGTGTGTCAGATGACTGTTCAAAGTTTGGGAAATTTTCAAACCCATTTTTGTAATTTACTTTTGGCCAATTAGTCAAGAATGCATGAGGGCTTACATAATAATAAATGTTAAAGCTGAAAGACACATTTGCAAACAGACAATGATAATGGCTGAACAACATGATAAACCCATTATCCTCGAACTGTGCATGTAAAGAATGTTGAAATGGCAAACTATTTGTTATTTATATTCATTACAATATTTATTTAAAAAGAATACTGTATGGAGAACTCATAAAGCTGTTCGCTGGGATTTTTTTTTTCCTTTTTTCCCCCCCAGGATTTACTTGTTATTTTGGAACTGGCCTTCCAATCTTGCAGGACAACAACTTCAGAATAGCAGAACTGTGGATTCTACTTATGGACTTTGTAGAGTGATTACTACTATTCCTGACAACACTTTTGGACATGAGCTTTCTTTTCACTTTCTACACTCAGTGCACTCTCTCTGCCTGCACAGGCCCTTGTCCTAACAAAAAATCCTCAATGTCAGAGCAAAGGAGCAGGAGGCACAAGTGAAAACAGCTGCAAGCAAGAAGGCATCAAACTTACTGATTCTACTCTTCATATCAGATATTCTAGCAACTTTTCATGAATTAAAAGCTTCTCAAGGTGTTATTTGGTTAGTTTGGGGGCCAACAGATAGTTTAAACAATGTGTCCAGCATTTTTACTCATTCTTAGGGGTGAAAGATTAGCTTCACTTTTCATTCTGTCATTGCTAGAACTCACTCTAAGGACTTTAAAAATATTTACTGGCTCTAAAACTGGAAAATGTATAAGATAGGCAATGATATGAACTGTAACCACTTCACACAGAGGTAAAAGGAGCAGAATAAAGATAAACCTAATTGTTCTATGTAACATATCCAATAAAATATATTGATGTACTCCAGCAACTGAGCTCCCAAGTTCATCTTCCTAAATACTTCAGCACCTTTCAAATGAGAATGATGATCAAGGGAAAGGACTAAGCTGCAGATAGAGAAAGCCATCGTGTACTGGGTGCCTAGTCTTTTCAGAAAAAGAAGAGCATGAAGGCAACCATGTATCTGATGGTCAAGCAATCAATAAAATGCTCAATTAAGATTGTCAACACAAAGAAATCCCCAAATTAAAGCATTTTACCCACATTATTACTACGACATTTTATTCTAGGCTATATTTTCAATCTATTTCTATTTCAACAAAGAAAAAAAATAGGCAAAGTATAATAAAAAAATAGGAAAATATAATCCAATCTATCTTTAATCCTTGACAATTGAAGAAAGAACTGTGGGTGTGCAGTGAGTAAAATGGGGAGGGGGAAAAGAATCAATATTGCAGCTTTGTGCTGTACAAATATGAAGACGTCTAAAAAGTGAGGCTTAGAGTAAGAATACTATTTCGTTCCATTTTTTTCCCTTCTAAACAAATGATTTTGAAAAGAGTGCCCCCCCCTATGAGCTATAAAATCTCAAGTAATAACTCTCTGAGCTTCAGGCTAGTGATTGGAATAAATGCTTCCTGGCAACAGGTGCAGTGACTTAGGAATGCAATCATGCCCATTCAGGGGATAACTCCTAATAAACAGATGCACTACCATGAGCTGGGAATTTGTAAGATGAGAACTAGAATTCTATCATGGCATTTTACATCATTTATGCAAAAAAATATGCTGCTCTATGCTGGTTGCAAGTTATACTTTAAGCACTTAATGAAGAACCCTGCCTTTCTAGCATTCTCCCTACCAAGAATTCTTTCAGTACATTTCTTCAAAAACACACATTCTCTTTTCTTCTTACTAAGCTGAAATAGAAAAGCATCAACTTTCATAGTACTATTTTACTTAATTACTTAGAAAGAAATCCTGTCATGTATGCTATTGCTCATG